TAACATATTTTAACATGATAAATTTGAAGAAATATAACAAATAAAACAAAAAAAATTTTAATTTCAAACCAATTCAATGAATAAAGATTCTTAAAGCTAAAACTTCTGAATCTAAAATGAGAACACAAATGATATCCATTTGCAATGAAATTTTAAACAACACTTTACTATCAATCAAAGTTTGTGACAAAAAAATCACAAAATACCAAAAAGATTATTTATTACTAAATTCTAAAATTTATTACAAAAAAATATCAAAAATTCGAAATAAATATAAAAAATTATAAAAAAAATCAAAAAATTCAAAACTAATCAACTTCAAACATTTAAATATGTTTCTAATATAGTATATAGGAAGAAATTGAGGTTTTCTCGCACCAAATACCCACCAATCAATGGTTCAAGCACATAAAAAACACAAAATCAACAATACAAGCCAACCACAATGTAAAACTAACAAACCCATTTGAAATACAACAAATTTTCATGGTCAAAACATTCAAGAAACTAAGAAAAATTGAAAAGAATGAAAGAACAGGATACTCACAGAGTAGAGATGATTCAAATCCAAAAAGAGGGGTGTTCAAATAGTGGCGGACGGCGACAAGACACCACAAGCTAAATGGAGGAGTTTAAATGGTGGGGGAGTGGGGGGAATGGCCGGTAATGGAAGTTTTTTGGTGGTGGGATAGAGAGGGACCACGACGCATTGAAACAAAAGTGAAAATGAGAGAAAACGAACCCGCCATGTAGGGTTATTTTAAAACTTCCCACGGCAGTTATTAAGAAAACCACCGTTGAAAGTATTTTTAACAGCGGTTATTTAAATAACCGCCGTTAAAAATGTTTTCCACGACAGTTTTCTTAATAACCGCTGTGAAAAATCAAAACTTAATTAACTTATTTACAAAAATGCCACCGCCTTTTTTTCCACATTGTTTTTCTGATTAACCGCCGTTATTTGACAATGTTAAAAGTCTTTTTTCTAGTAGTGCCTCCCTAACACTTGATCAATACATTGTGCTCAATGTAAGAAAAACAACATTATCTTAACCTAAACTCTCAGGTAAAGTGGAAGTTGTGAAGTCCGATTTGAAATTGAAGCATAATACATCATTATCACAAAGAGGAGAGAAGGGAGAGATGGGATAAGATAATGTGAAATGAAAATGGACAAGTATAAATCAAGTGATCAAAAGAGATGGCAAAAGCAGATAAAACACACAACTACTAAATAAAAATAAACAACTACAACTATAACTACTAGAAAAGTTCCTCCCCCCACACTTACTCCTAACTATCTCATCAAACAGATATCACCAGCAATGCAACAGAAAGTAAAAGAGTAGGGTAGAAGGAAACAACCATGTATTAGGGGGTCTTTGCTCCCTCGTGGTAGTGCTTTAGCAAATGGCTATTGACTTATGAAGTTATACCCGTCTCCTCATCTACGAGCTCTACCATGTCAAAGGGGTATACTTTAGTAACTTTGAAAAGTCCTTCCCACTTGGTGACAAACATCCCTGGCATCAACTTCAACCTGGCTTTAAACTTTAGAACCTTGTCACCTTTATGAAACTATTTCCTTAGAATCTGTTTGTCATGAATCATTTTCAGCTTGTCTTTATAGATTCTAGCATTGTCATAGGACTCAAGTCTTATTTCTTCAAGCTCTTGGAGTTGCATCTTCTGATTGACAAATGAAGATTCAAGATCTGCATCATGCCTTGATTGCCCAATAAGATTTATGCTAGATCTTCATAGGTAGATGGCAAGCCTTGCCATAGAGCAATCAGAAGGGAGACATGCCTATAGGGGTCTTGTAGGCAGTCCTGTAAGCCCAAAAAGCTTCCTCAAGCCTTTCACTCTAGTCCTTACAGGATGGTTTCATAATCTTCTCAAGTATTCACTTTACTTCCCAGTTAGAGACTTTAGCTAACCCATTCATTTGAGGGTGATAACAGTTGACAAGCTTGTGATTGACCCCATATTTAGCTAATAGAGACTTGATGGTCCTGTTGCAGAAGTGTGTTCCTTAGTTACTGATGGTTGCTCTTAGAATACCATACCTGCAAAAGATATAAGAATGTAAAAACTTGGTAATCGTAGAAGTATCATCTTTACTAGTTGGCATTACCTCTACCCATTGAGACACATAATCTACTGTAAGCAATATGTATGAAAACCCAAAAGATAGAGGGAAGGGACCTATAAAGTCCATGCCCCACACATTAAAGATTTCATAAAAATGAATAGGTCTTAGAGGCATCTCATGCTCCCTACTCAAACTCCTAAACCTCTGACCCTTATCATAAGACTTGCAGAAATAATAAGCGTTCTTAAATAGAGAAGACCAATAAAAATCACACTCTAAAACCCTCCTAGCAGTCCCATTAGCACTAAAATGCCTCCCATAAGATAAAGAATGTGCAAAGGTAAGGATAGAGTGGATCTCATTGTTTGGAACACAGCGTCTGATAATCTGGTCACTGCATTGCTTTCACAGGATTGGAGCATCCCATATATAGTATCTCGCCTCCCTCTTTAGCTTGTCAATATGAAATTTAGACATAGAAGGAGGCACAAGGTCAGTGACAAGATAATTAACTATGTTAAAGTACCAAGGCCCTTGAACGGCCAAGGTAAAAAGTACAGAATTAGAAAATTAGTCAATAACAAGATCATAAGAATCAACTCCCTGTTTGCCTTCAGGTAATCGGCTAAGGTGGTCAACTATATGATTCTCTACTCCGGCTTTATATCAGATCTTGATATCAAACTCCTGTAGTAGCAAAGCCTATCTTAGTAGTTTAGATTTAGATTGAGGCTTCTTAAATAGGCACCGACCTGCTGCATGATCTGTAAAAACAACCAATCAAGAGTTTATTAGATACTGTCTAAACTTATCCAAAGCAAAAAACAATAGTAAACAGTTCCTTCTCTATAGTGGTGTAATTGACTTGAGCGAAATCAAGCGTCTTGGAGGCATAGCTATGACTCTAGACTGTTTATCCTCCATCTGTCCGAGCATGGCACCTACTGCAAAGTTAGAAGCATTACAAGATAATTCAAAATGTAAATTCCAGTTAGATGCAGTGAGAATAGGAGGTCAAACAAGCTGAGATTTCAAAGTGTCAAAAGGCATGTCTACACTTGTCATCAAATTTAAATTCAGCATCCTTTTTTAACAAGGTAGAAAGAGGCAAGACAATTTTACTAAAGTCCTTAATTAAGCACTGATAGAAACCTATATGCCCCAAGAAAGACTTAAAGTCCTTTAAACAAGTAGGATAAAGAAGGGATGAAATAACTTCAATTTTGGCTCTATCAACCTTGATCCCCTTTTAGGAGATAAGGTAACCTAAGACTATCCCTCTGTCAACCATAAAATGACACTTTTCAAATTCAAAACCAATTTCTTATCTATACACCTCTCAAGAGCCTGCTCTAGGCTATTTAAACACTCATCAAAACTCTCATCATAAACAGTGAAGTCATCTATAAAAACTTTCATGTTTTGCTTTAGAAGATCACTAAATATCGTCATCATCCACCTTTGAAAAGTGCCCGGTGTGTTGCACAACCTAAATGGCATCCTTCAATAAGCAAAGGTACCAAAAAGGCATGTCAAAGTAGTCTTATCCTGATCTTCAGGAGAAATGGGCACTTGAAAATAGCCAAAAAAACTGTCCAGAAAACAATGGTGAGACTTTCCTAAAATTCTCTCCAACATTTGTTCTATAAAAGATAATGGAAAATGGTCCTTTCTCATGGCATCATTCAACTTCCTATAATCTATACACACTCTCCAAGCATTTTGAACCCTAGTTGGAATCAGCTCGTAATTCTCATTTCTCACTACTATGATACCGCTCTTCTTTGGTACTACTTGTACCGAACTTACCCACTTACTATCTGATATTGGATAGATGATCCCAACACTTAACAACTTAAAGACTTCCTTCTTAACTACATCCAAAATGAGAGGATTCAATCTCCTCTGTGGTTGCCTAACTGGCTTAAACCCTTTATTTAAAAGGATTATGTGTGTGCAAACTGAGAGATTAATCCTTGAAATGTCCCCTAGAGACCATCCTATAGCCCCTTTATGACTCGTCAACACATAAATCAATCTTTCTTCTTCAGAATTATTCAAAGAACTAGAAATAATAATAGACAATTTAGAGTCAGTAGTAAGTAAGACACATTTCAAGTTAGGGGGAAGGGGTTTCAATTCTAAATCAGGGGGTTGCACAACAGAAGGAACTAATTCTTTTATGTCAAGTGCATTCAATACAAGTGGCATGTCTATGTGGCTTGGGGAAGGAGATATAAACTTATCATGATGTATATGTCCTCCACTTCCCAACTCAGTGCCATTCTGGGATAACCTATAAAAAGGAGGATCGGTATCAATCTTATCAACAGAAACATCAAGTAAATCACAAGGACGAGTAGGATTAAAAGTGACTAAGTCAGTAGCAAGCTTGTTGCTAGCCTCTTCTAATGTTCCAGCACCACTCAAAGGAGAAGCTACCAGTGTAACTTGTGTAACACCTCTTTTATCATTAGTGCCTACAAAATCAACAAACTCAACTTTCTCAAGGCTATCATCAAGTGTAATGTTCAAAGTAGGATCACGGTTAAGACAAGATGATACATCAAAATCATGAGAGATGGACAGGAGGTGATCAACGTCTAAATAGTTAACGCACACCGTGTTACCATAACATGAGCAAAAAGAAGAAGAATGAGGAGTAGATAAATAAGTAAATACATCATCATGCTCAACAATCTCATCATACCAATTATGTTCATGCATCTTAGATTCATGCAAATCATCAACATCATTAACAGCACAATCAATCAAATTAACACCCAAGTAAGAGCAATCTGCATAACCTTGACTCATAGCATCAGAAATGTTGAAGGTAATCTGTTGGTCCCCAAAGCCTATGGTAATGACCCCATCTTTCACATTAATTATGGTTTGGGCTGTTCTAAGAAAAGGTCTTCCTAGAATCAATCATGTCTAGCACATAGAAGTTAGTTGGGAACATAAGACCCTTCACTTGCACAAGAACATCCTCAAAAAAGCCCTTAGGGTGTCTCACAATGCTATCAGCTAGACGTAGCATAACACTGGTGTCTTTTAAGGCATGAATATCTAAACTCTCATAAATATAGGTAGGCATAATATTTATGGCTGCACCTAAGTCTAGTAAGGTATGTGAAATATTTGTTTTGCTTATGCTATAAGGAATAGTATAGGGACCCGGGTCTTTATACTTAATAAGTAACTGTGGCTTGAAGATAGCACTAACACTAGACCCCAGTTGGATTCTCTCACTATGCCTATACTTCCTCTTATTTGCACATAGGTCTTTTAGAAACTTATCACACTTGGGCATTTTCTTAATCAAATCAAGTAATGACACATTAACCTCAAGTTTACTAAACATTTCAAAAAGCTCATCATTATCTTTCTTTTCAACAACTTTCTTACTCATGAGCTAAGAATGCGGAAAAGGCAAGTCAGAAATGTTTACCTCATCACCTTTGGAAGGTGATCCTTTTATTGGCCGTTGCTTAGCAGCGTCAAACTCCCTTTTCTCTTGAGCCAATGATTGCTTAAAGGATTGCTCTAAGAGCCTCTTATCTTTGGCACCTTTGGATTGAATGGAGGTCTCTTGAGTAGCCTTGGGAATGTCTTGAGTGGTCTTAGAAGGAGGAGACTCAACTTTTATCTCTTCATCAATCGGTTCTCCATCCTCTTCATCATCTTTGAATTGCACTTTCTTAGCACTAATTTTTTTACCACTTCTCAATGTGATTGCATTCAAAGATTTAGGATTTATCACCGTGTTGAAAGTGGGGAAATACTTCTCTAAGAATGCTTTTCTAAGGTTGTTCTAGTTATGGTAGGCATCTGCCATATGCCTAGGCAAGCTCATGCACCATTCTCGTGCTTTGCTCTCCAGAGACAAATGGAATACCTTCCAAAGAACTTCATCCAAACTAGCCTCGACCGGCTTCATGCTAGAGCATACCATAGAGAGAGATTTCAAATGATTGTATGGGTCATCACCTGTCAAACCATAGAATTTAGGCAAAGAATTAAGTAGTGGACCTTAAATTTCAAAATTGACATCAACATTAGGGCATGCAACATTAAAAGGATCATAGTTTGTATCAAAAGTAGTGGCTTCCCTAATGGTTCTTCTTCTAGGGTTACCTCCATTATTCTCACCTACTATATTATGTTCCCCATTATGTCCATTGCCCCCTCTGTCGTCACCACCATTAGGATTATTAACAATTTCCATTATGTCACCTAAGTCAACTACCAAATCTAGACCAACTAAATTGTCTAGTTCAACCTCAGGATCACTAGACGCACTATATTCACTAAAGGACAAGTTAGACTCGTGTGAAAGATTTTCCTCTTCAATTGTAATCTCACCAGTCCTTTCTACCCTTCAGTCTTGTCTAGCTTCCCTTATAGAACTTTGAAGCTCAGGATTGGAAGGGACTAGGGTTTTATACCTACCCTTTCTTGGCATAAACAATCAACCAATCAAAAGCAAAGTGCAAAATTGACTTGCATAGTAAGATTCAAGCAAAAACAGATGAATGGAATGAGTGCAAGTGTATAAGTATGAGAATGAAAAAGAAAGGATCTAAATGAAAAAGGGAATGCAATGTGTAATGAATAAAAGGATCTAAATACTTTTTTTTTACCTTTAAGTTTTCAATGCAATTATATGCTAAATGCTAAAACTATGCAATACTAACTAAAATGTAAATGAATAAAAAATCAAGATATTTAGTTGTTTTTTTGAAAAATTTTCTATGCAAATGAAAAAAATGCTATGAAAAAATGAAAACAAATGCAAACTATTTAAGAATGCAAAAACTAAAAGGCTCAAGGACCAAGTCAACCAAAATTTGACACTTAATTACTAGGAAACCAATTTCTTGGCTCCCTGGCAATGGCGTCACTTGAAGAACGAATCGGTAGTCGCTTTAGGTCCACTTCAAAAATTAACTGAATTAATGCAGTATGGTGCACAATCTGGGTCATATTCATTTTAGGGAATCTCTAAAAAGAAATCCTAAGTAACTAAGTATGCAAAAGATAAAGAATTGACTTGGCAAGGGATTGATTTTCTTTTTAACTGACTAATTGGTAAAATTTAAAAGGATACAAAATGAGTAAATAATTTTTGAATTTTTAATTTATAAAATGGATATGAATGAAATAAACAAAGAGAATTAACAAGTGATAGCAAATAAAAAAGCAATCATCTAGCACAATGATTAAGGCCATCGTTACTTCAATTAATTTGGGAGTTAGCTAAATTCAAAAGACTCTAAGGGCCATCCCTTAGACTCAGTTTAATTAGAATAATCAATACCAAGCTACCTTGCATATTAATTACTGACAATTAAATTGTTTCAGCACAATTAGCTAAAGAGAATCAAAGAAAAACAATTAATATTTTTAGTTCAATAACCAAGCCACATTGAATAACCACTGACTATTCACCATAATTTCAAAACATAGCCTAACCGAGTATATTGGTAAGGAAATTAAAGTTAATCATATCATAATATCAAATGCTAATCAAAGATTTCAACAACCACAACTAATCTTAATACAAATATAAATCATCACAGTACATTCAAACATTGTAAAATTCATTCTAAGACCTCGAAGTCACAATTATAATGAAAGAAGTAAAAATTGGAAGAGCTCAAACTCCCCTTGGAAGCTACAAGTTCAAGTCATAAACATTGTGCTAGAGAATTGAAGGATTTAGCTAAGCCTCTGCATCATTGAAACTCCACCATATGCTTCAATAATCACAGCCATGGCAGAAAGCACAAAGGAAGATAAAAGAGACGATGATGATGATGAATGGGCTTTGGTTGATGGGAGATAAGGAAATCACGATGAAGGCAGTGGATTTAGAATCAAGGTATGCAGTTTCCGGCGAGTCCCTCTGACCCTTCGTTGTGTTGCTGCTCTGTCTCTAGTCTGCCTCTATTTGCTCTCTTTGCTACTCCTTTTCTGATCTGCCCCTGCTGATTTCAGATGGAGGAGAAGAAGATGAAGAAGATAATGATAATGGGAGATTCTGTCATGCCGTCACAATCCTCTGGTCCATCTTCGCCTTCGTTCTGCTCCCAGTGTTGCTCGCGTTTGGTCCTCTCTCCCTGTTCGCCGTCAAGCCCTCATCGAATGAGGATGATGATCGTTTTTAATTTCTTTTTTTTTTTTTAGGGTAGGCAGTAAAACGGTGACCCTCTTTTATTTAATTTTTTTATTTCTTCTTTTTTTTTTTTTAATTTTCTTTCTTTCTTTTTAAAATTTTTAAATGCTCAAAACCTGCACTCAAAATTGAAGAATAAGGTAGTATTAATTGTCCTTAAAGATCAATCAATCACAATTATGACAAATTTACCCCTATTATGCACTAATTCAAATTAAAGCGCTCTAATATGAATTGAACTCAAATAATGCAATTAAGGACCAATAATAATGACAAAAACCCACTGAAAATATATAAAAATGCATGTAAAAACATAGGTTTGTCAGTGTCTCTAGAGATATTTAAAGGATTTCTTGATGATAAGGGCAACTCTCGTTCTGACCTTTAGGTAGAAATCAAGGGGATGCTTTCGTCGTATGAAGCCTCATTTCTTTCAACGAAAGGTGAAATATTACTGGATGAAGCTAGAGATTTTACCTCAACTTATCTCAAAGAATATGTTGATCAAAATTAAACAAAGAAGGTAATGAGACATCACTCCTAATTAATCATGCCTTAGAGCTTCCACTACATTGGAGGATATTGAGGTTGGAAGCTCGATGTCTCATTGATGTCTATGAAAGAAGACGGAATATGATCCTTCTTTGCTTAAGCTTGCTAAATTGGATTTCAACATTTTACAATCCAAATACCAAGAAGATTTGAAGCACACATCAAGGTATGCATGTGTTTGAAAATAATCATGCTCTTTTAAACTTGCATTATTTCAGTATTTTTTTTTAATTATCTTACAACTCTTTCTTTGATTTTAAATATATTGGAGGGAAAATTCAATTAAATTCATTTTTGTTGCATCTCAACCTATTTCTTGTTATGCTATTTTTTATTGTAAGTTAAAAAGTTGTTAATGAATTTTAATGGGTTTTTAATGTAAAGATGGCTGAAGAGAATTGGGCTCGGAGAAAAGTTGAGCTTTTCAAAGGATAGAGTGGTGGAGAACTCCATTTGGGCAATGGCACTGGCTGTGGAGCCACGGTTTGGATATTACAGAAGAGTGGCAACGAAGGTTAACGCACCGATAACAACATTGATGATATGTATGATGTCTATGGCGAATTAGAAGAATTAGAAATATTTACAAATGTCATTGACAGGTTAGCACTTTGATTATCACCTTTTTATCATATATACTTTAATTTCTCTCCTTGTAATTGTCTTAACATGTTGATTAACATTTTGTAGATGGGATATAAATGCCATTAATTCTCTTCCAGAGTACATGATGATATGCTTCCTCGCACATTTTAATTTTGTCAATGAAGTGGCTTCTGACATCCTTAAAGAGAACGGACACAGCATCGTTCCACACCTTAAGGAAGTGGTATGCGTGCTTTCGTTCAATTCATTGATTCATGGTTTTGTACATATATAATTAAAACTCAACTAATTGTAGAGATTATATTCTCTTATTTCAAGTGTTAATTATTCTTTTTCTTATTCTTTTTTAGTGAGCTAATCTTTGTAAATCGTATCTGGTTGAGGCAAAATGGTACCATAGGGCTTGTCAACCAAGCCTGCAAGAGCACTTAGAAAATGCTTGGATTTCAATTGGTGCATCTGTCATACTTGTTCATGCTTATTTTGTCCTTTCTAACTCAAGCCTTCTAGACGCAGAATGCTTAGAAGATTATTATGACATTATTAATTATTCATCAATTATTTTACGCCTTGGCAATGATCTGGGAACATCCAAGGTATCATGAGAATTTCCTTTCAATTATTTAATTAACTATTGAGAATTTCATACCAATTTTCATCACATATTATTATTATTTTTGTAGCGTGAAAAGGAAACAGGTGACATGCCTACGTGAGTTGAGTGCTACATGAATGAAACTGGAGCTTCTGAAGCTGATGTTCGAAGGAATATAAATTCATTTATATGTGAAACTTGGAAGAAGATGAATAGAGAAGCTACCAATTTTCCAGACTTCAAGAGTTTCGTTGAAGTTCCTTTGACCATTGGAAGGATGTCACTATTCATGTACCGGCGTGGAGATGCCCATGGCATTCAAGATCTTCAGACTAAGAATAGTATTATATCGTTACTTTTCCAGCCTGTTATTGTTTGAACTTGCTTTGATTCACATAGTTTTCTTAAAATAAGCATATTAAGTTTGAGTTGCTGATATGATGTTATCAGAGTCGGTTGAAAAAAGTGCACTGGTCTATCCTTGATAGATAAGCCTGAACCCATTATAAATGAAGTACAGGCAGAAAATAAGAATAAAATACGAATAAGTATATGTAATTACTCTTTTTAGTTTGAAAGAGATGAGTGAGAGGTTAAAACCATAAAACAATTTTCAATGTGTGTGTGGGGCAAAGGGACAGCGGACAAATGTCATCCTGTGCTAGAACTACCATTTAATGGAGCCTGGTTAATGGATGATCCAAATTTAAGGGGCTGATCAACCTCTGTGCTCATTTTCCTTGTAAAGAGCACTAAACAATTCACTCAGAAACAGTCAACATATCATAAAATAATATTTTTTTAATCAAACAAGTCATGAGCAAAGCATCCTAACTATTATCAAAACCTTTGTTTTGATACCAAAAGATCTCACGCCTTAGATTTTTTTACTTATAAGAGAGTAATTGGGATAATTTTTGAACCACTTAAACTCATTTTGTGATCTAAAAGTAGACAACTTGAAGCTTTAATTTAATTTTGTAAGGTTACTGTTCATTTGGGAACCACCTTAACTCAAGACAAATTTTAAAAAGTCATAACTAATTCTAAAAAAATTAAAAAAAAAAATAGTTCTGATCTTTACTTAAAAAGCTATACGCATCCTACACAAGGTAAGATTTTAAACTTGATCATATGCTTACATGCTATTTCCTCAAATTGCATGAAAATTCACTCACCGGAGCGTTGACGTTGGTGGGGGCTGTGGTACTGGCGGCTAGAGCTGCCGGTGGGGTCCCTAGCGAGGTGGCTGGGACCTTTAATAATAACATCAAAATATCAAATTAAAACTATTCTAAGCAAGTACGTATACATTTTCTTAACCAGTTTATTTATTGCATAAACTTAAATTCCTACAATAGGTTGGAACAGTATATGATTCATAGTTTGAGAATCTTGAACTGTATGGCCATCCCCATGTTGATACATGTAAAGAGACATTCTAGCAAGGTTTTCAGAAATTTGAATGAAACTCTTTGAGTAAAAAGAATTGGCCGTTTCTGTATTTATCTTCTTCCAAGCTTCAAATACCAAGGACTTTATGTGCCTATGGGCATCGGACTCAGAAGCCCCAGTTTCTTTCATATAGCACTCGATTGATTTGGGTATATCTCCTGTCTCCTTTTCACGCTAACAAAAAATCAAATATGAAGAAAAATTAATACCACATATCATAAAAGAACTGGTTAAAAGATGTATACTATCGTATATGGTACCTTGGATGTTCCCATGTCATTGGCAAGGCGTAAAATAGTTGCTGAAGAATGAATAAGTTCATAATAATCCTCTAAACGAACAAAGTTCTCATCATTTATATTTGAAGTAGGAAGCGCAAAATAAGCGTGAACGAGTATGACAGGAGCACTGATTGAAATCCATGCATTTTCCAAGTACTCTTGTAGGGTTGGTTGATAATCATAATAATACCATTTTGCCTCAATCATATATGATTTACAAAGATCAGCCCACTGAAAATGAATCGGACGGAAAAATCATTACTAGAAAATAAGGCAAAAGCACACATTTAGTTCTCTATTTTTATATATGGTTTCATTTTGATATCCTGATTTGGGGGGGGGGGAGAAGAAGAAGAAATTTTAGTCCTGTAATCCTAAGATTGTTAGTCTCAAATAATGATTTAATATGCAAGTATTTGAAAATGATTTGTAAATATTTTAAATTTCACGTTCAGCATGTTTTGTTAATGGCATCAGGGTTAAGAGACTTAAAAGACACTATAAAATGAACCAAAAGAAAACCTTATATGAAGTGTCTGAATTTTTTTCAAAAAATAAACAATGGTCATGGTTATTTAAGTTTTGCGATATAAAATATATATGAAATCATAAATAAATTCATACCGCCTTCTTAAGGTGATGGATGATGTTTTGCCCATGATCTTTAAGGAAGTCAAAAGCCACTTCATTAACAAAGTTATATAGTGCAAGGAAGCATATTTTCACGTAGCCTGGTAGTTCATCCATGGCATTGACATCCCACCTATATAATCAAAAAGCATAAAATGGAAATATATATTAGGATAATTAAATAGAGAGAAATTAAATACTATCTATGGTTCTTAATATAAGAGCTAGTTGGAGATTGAATTTGATCCTAAATATAAGATTTCAATTCACTTTATCTCTAAAATTTATAATATTTTCTCCAAAATATCCTAATGATAGTAAAGGTTTCCATCAATAAATAGTTTTAATACACATGATTAAGAATGGTAGTTTAAGAAAGTTAGCATACATTTATTATAATTAACTAAATTAATTAACTAATTTTTTTAATCTTTTCAAACCAGTTATCTTGTTCTTATATCAAAGATCGGAGGTAGTATAATTGACATGTCGTAAAAATTTTATATTGTATGACATAATTATCAACACAAAGTAGTGCTAACCGGTCAACCACTTCTGTGAAAAGTTGTAACTCTTCAAATTTGCCAAATGCATCATAAATATCATCAATTGTTGTTATTAAAGCATTGACTTTTGCCATCAGCCTTCTGAAATGTCCAAGTTGTGGTTGAAAAGCGAGCCCCACTGTCCAAAAGAAGTTTTCCACTATTCGATCTCTTATTGCAAAATTCAGCTTTTCCCCGAGTCCAATTCCTTTCCACCATCTTCGTGATCAAAGAAAACCCAAAAAATGCTGAATTAGTTGTAATACGATAATTTTTTTTTACTTTATTCAGTCCTAAATATAAAAACTAAATAATTAATTTATAGATATTAAGAAGATTATTTGAGTCTCTTATTTCTTAAAAAATGTTTTGGTTTATCTAAGATCACATTTAATTATTTGTAATGGAAACTACCCATGTGAAAAACCTTCCTTACCACGTGGAACTGACAGGGATACTTTGACAAAAATTACACATTCAGGAGATAAAGTATTATGAGGACTTACTCTGAACACCAAAACAAATCTTTTAGTTAAATTATCTAACTTACATTCAGGACACATGGGAGTATTTATTTTCTATATGAAGGATTTAGCACAGTCAAATTATCTAACTTTTTCCTTATAATTACCATAAAAGCTTAGTAACACAATGATAACTTAATTATATTTAAATAGCTTTTTTAAAAGAAAAAATAAAGTATAAATTCAACTACTTATATTTTTTAAGGGAAATAAATCATAGCAGGACAAGAAACTATATGTTATATCTTTCTATGATTATTTTTACCTTGATGTATGTTTCAAATCTTCTTGGTGCTGGACTTGTACTACATTGAAATCCAATTTTGCTAGCTTAAGCAAAGAAGGGCTTACATTCTGTCTTCTTTGTTGGTAAACATCAATGAACCACCGAGCTTCTAATCTTGATGTCCTCCAATATAAAGGAAGCTCCAGAGAGTGATTAACCAAGATAAAAATCTCATCATTTTCATCTTTGTTTTTCCTCAAAAATTTTTTGAGACACGTTGAGCTGAAATCTCTTGCTTCATCTAATATCATTTCACCTTCCGTTGATAGAAATGATGCTTCATATAAAGATAACAACCCCCTGATATCAACGGACAGCCGAGAATCAAAATGATTCTCAGAATCTAGAAATCCATTAAATAAATCTGAAAGAAATTAAACCATATGTAAATATTTTCACCTAACGATTTTTTACTTCAAACTTGAGAATTTGAGGATTAAATAAAGAAATATACCCGATGACACGTTATAGCCGTGGTGTCTTAAGAGTCTAAATTCAAGAGCCGTGGCATATAATGAATTTGGTCTCCTCTTCAATATGCCATTATTATTATAATTATTGTAAGTATTCTCCATTATGTTCCTAATTTCAAGGTTAAAATGAGCAGCCACCCCTAGTCTTTGCAAGACATCGATGAACTCAAGTTGATCCACAAGATCTGCAAATTTTGAGAACATATCTCTTACTTCTTCCTTCAATCTATCTCTTTCTTTTGCATATGATTCTTCCTGTGATAATCGACCATCAGTTCATCATAAAACCACCCAGAAAAAAGGTTATACAATTATTAATCAAATAAGATCAAGACGAACTAATTAATTAGTAAAGATTATAGTGTGATGCATAACATACCACGAAGTCACTTCTCAGTGATTGGATATAATCATAATCCCAAATTGAAGGCTTGAAAGAGTTCACACATCGACGAAAAGTAGTGTTTTGATCAGAAACTACCAAGGTTGTGGCAACGCATTGGATGGTACGAGGAACACGACAGGTCGTGATTGTTGAAAGTGGGGAGATAGGTTTTGATGGAAGCATTTTGTGTTTGAAGATGGTGCCATTTGAAAGTAAGCCAAATTGGTATTGAAGAGCCATTATTGGCGTGAAGGGAAAAAGATTGAAAGAATCTGTGTGGTAATTGGAACCTTATTATGCTTTATATTAAGTTCAGCACTAGAAGAGTACATGGCACTTGCTTGCAAAGTGCGTGGCAATAACGCCGTACACCACTGTATAATGCAAAACATTTTATTATCCCAATGGGATGTCATGGTTGACATTTTTCATGATCCAACCGGCTAGACTAGTATTCGAACAGTCACGTAATAATTCAATAAAATTTTAATAAAAATTTTATATAAAAAAAATAAATTCATAATAAGTTTAATTATCAATAGAATAACACTATAATATATGAAGATTTCAATGAATAATACGTCATCATGCCAATGGTCTAAAAATATAGAGCATAATAGCGTTTGAATGCCGGTTCAACTTAACTATACAAAAAATTTTCTAATTCAAATCAAGCCCACTAACAAGTTCAGTCAATAGTTCGACCTCCAGTTCTTTAAAAATCATTGGTACAATCAATTTGAAATAAGTTTGAATCAAGTTGTCTTGAAGTGCCCCCAAACCCCACGTGCAATCATCTCTATCTCCCCCACCCCCTAAAGCATTGTCATCTATAATGTTTGAAAGATTAGTTAAAAATAATCATAATAAGAAATATAATTTAGCTGCCAATAGGGGTTAGATCTAGAAGAGACTAGTTTCTTATAATATGATGAATTAATATTTGAATTCCTGTTAGAGGAGGTACCTACATTTAGTGCTCGACTCAAACAGGATTGCATCTAATAGAAGAATACGTGTGCTTAGCAAAAAATATATATATATATATATAATTTAGCTAGTCCACAGTTTTACTTTAAAATTTACCATGATTATTTACAAATCCTTAAAAAGTCTAGATTTTGAAAATGTACAAGAGGTTTTTGTAATTTTATCAAAACTGAAAGTGAAAGATGTTAAGCATTTTACTCAATATTCTAATATCTAAAATTAAAAATATATTACTCCCTTCAATTCTTAATATAAACATACTTAACTAACTCGAGTAGATAAATAAAGTTATATAAATTAGTTAATTATAATAAGTATAACATGATCTTCCTAAAATATCTCTTTATAATATGAGATCATATATCAATTTATAAGTTAGGTTACTTAATTCAAGAAAAATGATGAATATGAAAAACAACATAAATTACAGCCTTATATATTTATAACTAAATCTAACCTTCAGCTAACTCCTACATGTATATACATGTCAAGGAGAGGAGAGGAGGGAGTCCTTCAATTATGATCAATACAAAACCATATATCATCGAATCAATCAACCTTGGATCATTATTTCCACTCATATCCGCTCCCACTTTGAGAGCATTGATTAAAACAACTTTAGCCTATTTTCCTAACATAGCTTAATAGACAAGATAGTTTGTGCCCACACGTAAACTTATTTTCCTAACATACCTATAAGAAAGTTGTATTATTTAATTAGGGGGGGCCTCGCATAATATTTCAGATAGATACGATTCATAAAAAGCAGAAATATGGTAGGGTCGGGGGAGCCTAATCCCTTTGCTTTATTCAGAAGACTATCATGGGAATCGTCATGTGATTATGGCGGACACAATCTGATTTGTTGATCTTATTTCAGAAGTTGTTGGATTTTTAGCTGGAGTACATGAATGAAAATTTATTAAAAAAATATGTGTTGGTTATGCTAAATTTAATTTCAGGTAATTGATGATGAGACGGAATAGATAGATTATATATGTGTGCGCGCCAAATTTAAGATATAGGCCTTCAACTGAAACTAAAATGCAAATTAATCAAATAAATTCTTGAATTCTCAAAATTTGATGCCAATAGGAAATCATGTTCATCAAGAAATTTGATGCCGACCGATCACCCTCTCATATAAGCTCTCAAGTTAATTAACTAAATTAACTCTATATAATATAAAGGTCAATTTAAATTATCTGTCTTTATGAGGAGCTTTGTTAAAACTTTGAAACCTTTTTAATAAAAACGTGATTAAAAGAAAAGGAAAGAAGAAGAGAAGATTGATTGATTTTGTTTTTGAAAACAAACCGAGAAAATTAAAAGCAAAATTTAAAAGAAAGCAAAAATTGAATGTAAACTTTCCAAGGACGTTGATATATGGCTATTGTAACATCCTTAAAAAAAATATATATATTATATTTTATTACTATTAAATAATAATTTTATTAAAAAAAATGGGGGAAGGGGACAACACGTTCAGCTTTCCACCGAAAGCTGAACGTATTTAAGAGGAAGAGGAATTTGGGGGGGGGGGAGTTTTTGACTGAAGGAAGAAAAATATGGAGGGAGCATTAATGAATGAAGAAAAAATTGAGGAAGGACGGTGGAATTTGAAGGATAAAAAGAGAAGTGATCGCAAAGAATGGAAAGAAAGAGTGAGATGCGCAGAAGGAGAGACTGAGAGAAAAGAAGAGAAGTGTTAGCAGTTTGAAGAGTCATACACTACAAAAAAATAGACTTTAGGCGACGACTTTCGGCGGCGACAAAAAAAGTCGCCGCTGAAAGTGGACTTTCAGCGGCGACACCAAAAAGTCGCCGCTGAAACCAAGACTTTCAGCGGCGACAAAAGTGTCGCCGTCGAAAGTGGACCTTCAACGGCGACTTTTTTTGTCACCGCCGAAAGTGGACTTTCAGCGGCGACTTTTTTAGTCGCCGCTGAAAGTTCGCCATTGAAACCAAGACTTTTAGCGGCGACAAGAGTGTCGCCGCCGAAAGTGTTTTCGGCGGCGACATTTGTCGCCACTGAAACTTCTAAAAGTCGCCGCTGAAAGTATCTTTTAACGGCGACATTTTTAGTCGCCACTGAAAGTTTTCAGCCACGGCTGCTACGGCAACGACTTTTTAGCGGCGACTTGTCGCCGCAAAAAACTTTCGGCAGCGACTTTTGTCGCCGCTGAAAGTTAATTTTTTTGTAGTGATACAAGCTTTGGGGATCATTTAGGTACATAAAAATACTTCTTTCTATTAGATTTCTTTTATGAATATTTTCTATATATTTAGAACTTTATATTAGTAGTATTACTACAATGTTTAGAGAAAATTTTGTGAGCTGGGTACAGAGTAAGTAATGATTTTTGACAATATATGACTGTAGAAATTTAGAGATAAATAAGTAGTTAATTTTAACCGGTTTAGATTTGTCTATTTATTATCTATGGTATTGAAAATTAAATGTATTTGTTGAAAAATCTGTCATTTATGATATATATCATATAAATATCGATTAAAAATAGGTTAAATAATTTATTTGGGTTGTTCGATATATTATTAAAATTTTCATCGGTTTATATTTGTTTATTGATTGTTTTGAGAATTTTAAACTAAGATTTTAGTTGAAAAATGTATTATTCAAGATATATAGAATGTTTTTACCAATTAAATTTAAGTTAAATAACTTATTTGGCTTACTTAATGTATTATTGATATTTTAATCGGTTTAAAATGTAAAATAGGTTAAGACTATATTATTAGAAAAATTTTGAAACTGGAAACTTAAGTTATAAATTGAGATTCTTACAATATTAGATAAAAACAATATTTTATAAATATTTATAATTTAAATGAGTTATTTGGTAGGAAAAAAAATGTTATTTGAAGTAAGAATTTTTTGATAGTAAATATATGTATAGATATTATTAATAATAAATTCTATGTAATTTAAGTTAATTATTTGTATGTATATTAAATTGTATCTATATTATTTGTAGATTATCTTGTACTTCGGAGTTTGTAATTTGCGCTCTTATTTCTCAAGCTGTGAGGTTAAGCTTGGAGTAGAGGTAACCAGGGTTAATTTATTTTATATACACGCTTTGGATTGTAAGGTGTTTATTATGTTTTTATTTTCTTAGTTAATTTGTAAAAGTATGCCTGTGAATAAAATATATATTTTATTATATGACAAATTTTGGTGAAGTGGGAAGTATGTTGATCTAATTATGTTTGAGTTGTGTTTTATTGGAAATTGTGTTTTCGTGTAGTACTGAATTTAATATACTAATATTATGTTATTAAATAAAATGAAAATGTGTTATACTTTGTTTGAAATTATATCATCTTACTTTGAAGATTGTGATATTTTGATTTATATTGTGACTATGCATGGGGTTCATATGTGGAGGATGGGATTTTGTTATGTGGAGGATAATTGTTCTTGAAGCCCGCGCGGCATGCCTACACTACGGATCCCAGTGTTTGGCCTTATTGTTAAACCCCTGTAGTTCTTCCTTTTCCTTGGCTCAGAATTGAGAATGAACTCTTGGGTAGACACCTCTTGCACCATAGTCCATTCTTGGGCGGTGTAGGTACAGGAGGGGGCCCGTTGCTTGATGTGAGTGGGGTGACCTTTGACTGGGTTACTCAGCACAGAAAGCCCGGGTCCTTATCAAGGAGTCATAAGGAGGAGAAAGGTGATGGGAGGGCATATTTGATTGTGTTGTTACATATATGTACTTTTATATGAATTGTGTTGTGGATGGAGGGATATACTCTTTTTATGTGATTATATCTATTAAAGTACCATTTATTTCTTAAACTATATTTAAGCACTACTTCACCAACTTGCCATCCTACTTGTATATGTCATAAATTAATACTTGGTTACTGGGACTTTACGTCTCACCCCGCTGTTCATCAATACTTTTCAGGAGAGCCATCTAGTTTGGCTCGGCATGAAGGGAAGCAACCAGAGGCATAGGCGAGCGTAGCCTAGTAGTCCTCTTTTGGTTTAGGCATGTAATGTTATGTATATTGCCATCTTAGGGCCCACAACTGTGTTGACATATACTTTCTTTTGTTTGGATGACTGTATTTGATGGAATGCTATTAAAATGGCTGAAGGCCATAAGACTCTGCTGTATGTGATACTCTTATGTGTATGCCTTATGGGCTGGGTTGAGCAACCTATGTTTCTTGTGCGCTAAGTCTTTGTGGGATGAATATTATGTTGGGCTTGTGGGCGGTTACTG